GGGGGGTAGGGAGGGGTCAGTGGATGGGACGGGAGGCAAGGAGGGTAAGGGGAAAGAGGGATCTTGTAGATTGAGGATTGAGTCGTGGAATATAGGCACGCTAACGAGTAAGTCTACTGAGTTGGCGAAGATTCTCCAGAAGAGGAAGGTCAATATAGCTTGTGTCCAGGAGACTAGGTGGGTAGGGTCGAAGGCGAGGAATGCGGACGGGTATAAGCTGTGGTACTCTGGGGTCATGAGGGGTAAGAATGGAGTAGGTATCTTATTGGATAAGGATCTTAGAGAGTCTGTGGTTAAGGTTAGGCGAGTGAATGATAAGCTAATGTTTATTAAGTTGGTGATTGGTGAGTGCACCCTCAATGTTGTTAGCGCTTACGCGCCGCAAACGGGCTTGAATGAGGAGGTTAAGAGGCGCTTTTGGGAGGGTTTGGACGAGATTGTGCGTAGTATTCCACCTACTGAAAGGTTATTTATTGGAGGGGATTTTAATGGCCATATTGGGTCGGCTGCTAATAGCTATGGCGAGGCGCATGGTGGCTTTGGCCTTGGGGATAGGAACGGAGGAGGTACTTCGCTGTTAGATTTCGCTAAGGCCTTCGAGCTGGTGATTGCGAACTTGACTTTTCCGAAGAGGGAGGAGCATCTGGTAACTTTCCAAAGTTCGGCGGTGAAGACTCAGATTGATTACCTTCTCTTTAGAAGGTGTGATAGAGGGTTGTGCAAGGATTGCAAGGTTATCCCGGGAGAGACCCTCGCGACTCAGCATAGGTTCTTAGTGATGGACGTTGGTATTATGATAAAGAGGAAGAAGAGGTATGCTGGTGGCCATCCGAGGATTAGATGGGGAGCTTTAACTAAGGATAAAGCCCAGGAGTTGGAAGGGAGGTTATCCGCTATGGGAGCTTGGAGGAGTAGTGGGACGCAAGCACTGTGGTCAACGACAACGAACTATGTGAGGGAGGCGGCGAGAGAGACGCTAGGGATATCGAAGGGTTATTCTGCCAGGCATCAAGGCTACTGGTGGTGGAATGACGTAGTCCAAGGTAAAGTGGAGGCGAAGAAGATAGCGTATGTGAAGTAGGTAGGGAGCACAAGCGAGGAGGAGAGGAGAGCGAATAGAGAGAGGTACAAGGTGGCGAGGAAGGAGGCAAAGCTAGCGGTCACGGAGGCTAAGAAATCAGCGTTTGGTCGTCTGTACGAGGAATTGGGGGAAAAAGGCAGGGACAGGAAGTTGTTTCGGCTGGCTAAAGTGAGGGAGAGTAAGGCTCGGGATCTGGACCAAGTAAGGTGCATCAAAGACAAGGATGGTAGAGTATTGATGGGAGAGTCCCAGATTAAGCAGATATGGCAGACGTACTTCCATGGTCTTCTAAACGAGGAGGGGGACGGGGATATAGTGCTAGGGGATTTGGGGCATTCGGAGAGTCTCCGAGATTTTAGGTATTGCAGGCGCTTTAAGGTGGAGGAGGTCGTGGGGGCTTCGCGTAAGATGAGTAGGGGCAGAGAGACCGTGCCAGACGAAATTCCGGTTGAGTTTTGGAAGTGGGTAGGTAGAGCAGGATTAGAGTGGCTGACTGGGTTGTTCAATGTGATTTTTAGGATGAAGAGGATGCCGGATGAGTGGGGGTGGAGTACAGTGGTACCGCTGTACAAGAACAAAGGTGATATCCAGTGTTGTAACAATTATAGGGGTATCAAGTTACTAAGCCATATAATTAAAGTCTGGGAGAGAGTGATGGAGGTGAGGGTGAGGAAGACGACGTCTATATCCGACAATCAGTTTGGGCTCATGTCGGGTCGCTCCACTACGGAAGCTATCCACCTTATTAGGAGGTTGGTGGAACATTACAGGGATAAGAAGAAGGATCTGCACATGGTGTTTATTAACTTGGAGAAAGCGTATGACAAGGTCCCTAGGGAGGTGCTCTGGAGATGTCTTGAGGTAAAGGGCAGTGTTTTGGAAAGCGTTAAGCGCAAAAAAGCGATGAGGCCTCGCTTCACAGAAGCGAGAAGTGCGAAGCGAAGCGCACGCTTTTTTGCTGTGAAGCGCAATTTAACACATAAATAAAAAAAATAAAATAGGCATAGATAAATGGCTAAGAACTCATTAAAAATAACATATGAAGCAAATGTTTCAATTCTTGAATCAAGAAGCAAATAATAGATACTAAAACTAGATAGTGAATAATCCTCAAAAGTCATAACATATTAAGCAAATGCAAAACAAAATCACAAAAGGAGCAACATCCTATTCTTCAACAAGATCTCCAAACTCTTGAAGTGTCATCATGTTCGAGTTATTATATTGGTCATCATCATCTTCTTCTTCTTCATCGGAGGCTTCATTAATTAGGGTTCTACTTGTACATGTACTTGTAGATACTCTTTCTTTGCTCCTTAAAGTACTTCCCCTAAAACCATAAACATTCTCTTCAACTCCACTTGCCATAGCAACATGACCAAAAGTGAGACCTTCTCCTTCAAACACTTCTTCTTCTTCATGATTTTCGGGGCCTCCGGTTAACCATTCATTTGCTTCATCAATGTTATCCAATAAAATTGGATCAATGATATTGCGAGCTTTGTAACGACGAGCCAATGTTCTATTATATTTTACGAACACGAGATCATTGAGTTTCTTTAGCTCAAGCCTGTTCCTCTTCTTAGTATGAATCTTCATAATAAGATGTAGAAAGTAACTAAGAGGAGTACTTAGGACAATTGAGATAAACTTTAATTTAGTAATAATGTAATATAGCTTCTCACATGTTCATAAACACTCCAATTTCTCTCGCATCCGGATGAGCTACAAGTTAAGCTTTGAACTCTAATAGCAAATTGTTGCAAGTTTGGAACTTCATAACCAATTGCATCCACCATTCAACCGTAGAAGTATTATTTTAGAAGTTAATAACTTGAAAGTTAAAGCTCTAAAGAGTAAAACAATTGAAAAAAGTTGCTCACCTGGTGCCAATTTGATTCTGCCTCTAATGGCCGAAGCTAATCCAAGAATTCCATCGGCTTGCATATACACACCAAGCTCTTGCCCTATTTTGTCTTGCATCGCTTCATCTGGCACCAACTTCGCAACACATGCATGATACCCCTTCCAAACGTTTAAATCTAAAGTCTTGTTCTCATTGTTTGTGTAAAACAATCCGGGGTTCAAAATATGCCCTGCTGCATGTAAAGGTTGATGAAGCTGATCATCCCACCTTTTATCAATGATTTCAAACACTCTCTCATATTTCCTCCTATCATGATCAAATGCCTTCTCAATAGCTTCTTTAGCCCTATCCATGGCTTCATAAATGTATCCCATTGGTGGTTTTTTCTCCCCATCCACCAAACGAAGTACAATAACCAAAGGATTACCAACTTTAAGTGCTTGAACAATGTCATTCCAAAAATATGGACCAATAATAAATCTCGCAACTTCTTTCCCAAGAGTTTCCTTTGCATAGATACTCTCACTCCATTCGGTTGACAAGAACAAGGTTCGCAAATTTTGCTTTTGCAGGTAAACGCTATGCAAGGTCAAGATAGCTGTTGCGAATCTTGTCTTAGCCGATTTCACCAAATTTCTTTGTTTTGTGTATCTCCTTATCATGTTCAACAACAACGGCCTTTGACTAATGTAAGAATGTATCTTGATCGCCTTAGCAAAAACTGTAGGAAGTCAAATTTCATAGTTAATAAGTATAAGCAATTAACATGAAGGTTAAAAACTTAAAATAGAAAATAAGAACCGCTTATTCACCTGTAGAATATGGGGCTAAATTGAAAATGTCACCAAACATCAAGTTGATACAATGTGCAGCACAAGGAGTCCAATAAATATTTGGGAAAACTCCTTTCAACATGTCACCCGCTTTTTTATTCTCACTTGCGTTATCAATGACAACTTGAACCACATTTTCCGGTCCAACTTTCAATATTGTCTTCTCAAACAAGTTGAACATTTTATTGGAATTGGTTGAGGAGTCACTAGCATCATAAGATTCAAGAAACACACTACCTCTCGGAGAATTCACCAAAACATTAATGACCATTTTTTCATTTTTTGCAGTCCATTTGTCCATCATAATGGAACAACCACAAGCTTTCCCATTGTGCCTTATGCTCCTCGACAAACTTGTCTGTCTTCTCCACCTCATTTTTAGACAAGGAACTCTTACTTCGTGATAGGTAGGGGGCTTCATTCCCGGGCCATATTGGCCAACAGCCTCAATGAATTCACCAAAACTATCGGTGTAATTCACACAATTAAAAGGGAGCCCCGCATCATACATCCACCTTGCAAAATCATCTACAACACGCTCCCTCAAACTCTTCCTACAAGATTCTAAGTCAACAGCTTCACCCTTTCTCTTTTCATTTGGTTTTTGTGAGAAAAAAAGATTAAGAGGACCTTTCATATTGCTACTGGCGGTGGATGATCCACTTCCGCTTGTTGAATTCTTTCTTTGAGATTTAGAGGGAGGTGGCCTCATTATATCATTGACTTCAAGGTCATCCTCATCCATTTGACTATCTTCATCAAGAAGATTAATCATAGATGCTCCATGGCTCATTGGATTTTTTAACTCATTTTTTTCTCAACATAATCTCTCATTTCTTTCTTAATAGTATCCGAAACACTTGGACATTCTTTGACATCTCTAAAACCACCGATTAGATGTCTCTTGTGACAATGTATTCCACCGTTATAAATTTTTTGACAAAAGATACATTGCACTCTTGAGTTATTATTTCCAACTGCAACTCCATACGCCCAAGCTGGATCTCTTTTTTGGCTTGATGCCATTGAATAATCAAATTAAATTTACTACAATCAACAACCAAAAAAAAATAACAATTAATTCACAGAAGAAAACAAAAAACAGAAAACAGAGCATAACAGAAGAAAAAGAAGTCGTATCATGATAACAGAAGAAAAAGAAGTCGTTTAGGGCAAAAAATGAGCGCTTAAAAAGTGAAAAAAATTGAAAGAAGAATAGAAGAGAAGAAGAATAATAGAAGAAGACAGAAAACAGAGCATGAAGAAGAAGAACAGAAGAACTGAAGAAGAAGAAGAAGAAGACTAGAAGAAGAACAGAAGAAGAAGAAGAAGAAGAAGAAACTTACCGAGATTTGGAGATGAAGTCGTCGCTGGACTTCGCTGGGCTGGAGAAGAAGACCTTTGTATGTTTTGGTAACAGATGCCTTCTGCTCGTATGTTTATTTGCCTAAATTTTTTAAAAAAGCCCTAGCGGATGCCTTCTGCTCGCTTAAGCGAGCTTTTTCTCGCAATTTCTAACTCGTCGCTTCTTGCTTAAGCGAGAAAAGTGCTCGCTTTTCTCATGTGAGTCGCCTGTTTACCAAAAAAGCGCTACCACTGCGCCTCGCCTCGCTTCATCGCTTAAAGCGAGAAGCGGGCGCTTTTAATAACACTGGTAAAGGGCGTGCCGGTAGCTTACATCAGAGCGATCAAGGACATGTATGATGGAGCTAAGACTAAGGTTAGCGCTGTGGGAGGCGACTCGGAGCATTTCCCAGTTGTTATGGGGTTACACCAAGGCTCTGCGCTTAGCCCGTTCTTATTTGCCTTGGTGATGGATGCACTGACACACCATATTCAAGGGGAAGTGCCATGGTGTATGTTATTTGCTGATGACATAGTTCTAATTGATGAGATGAGGGACGGTGTTAACGAGAGGTTGGAGGTTTGGAGACAGACCCTCAAGTCTAAGGGTTTCAAATTGAGCAGGTCTAAGACAGAGTACCCGGAGTGCAAGTTTAGCGCTTAGACGAAGGAAGTAGGAAGGGACGTGAGGCTCGGATCACAGGTCATCCCCAAGAGAGATAGCTTCAAGTACCTTGGGTCGGTGATTCAGGGGGACGGAGAGATCGACGAGGACGTCACTCACCGTATAGGGGCGGGCTAGATGAAATGGAGGTTTGCATCTGGAGTCTTGTGTGACAAGAAAGTGCCACCGATACTCAAAGGTAAGTTTTATAGAGCTGTGGTTAGACCGGCCATGTTGTATGGGGCAGGGTGTTGCCCGGTTAAGAACTCACATATCCAGAGGATGAAGGTAGCAGAGATGAGGATGTTGGGGTGGATGTGCGGCACACTAGAATAGACAAGATTAGAAATGAAGATATTCGGGAGAAGGTAGGTGTGGTCCCTGTAGATGACATGATGCGGGAAGTGAGGCTCAGATGGTTCGGGCACGTACGGAGGAGAAGCCTTGATGCTCCGGTGAGGAGGTGTGAGCACTTGGCTGTGGTGGGTACGAGAAGTGGTAGAGGGCGGCCTAAGAAGTATTGGGGAGAGGTGATCAGGCACTTGTAGGCTAGGGGGTAGTAGAGCTTTCCCTACTTCATACCCGGGGTGAGGCGGGGTTGGATAGGGTTGATCTTAGATAGATTGCGGTTTATGTTGAGTCCACACTATCCTTGCTATTTATCTTAGCCCCGGGCCTTAGATACTGGTTATTGTTGTTGCATGTCATTTATCTTTTGGTTTTTATGCTTCTGTTACTATTTCTACAGTTTTTGTTGAAGTTACTGATGAATTGTCATTGCTTATTTTTATTTCCGTTTCTTTGAGCCGAGGGTCTATCGGAAATAGCTTTTCTGCCCTATCGGGGTAGGGGTAAGGTCTGCGTACACATTACCCTCCCCAGACCTCACTTTTGTGGGATTTTACTGGGTAGTAGTTGTTGTTGTTGTAACTATGTGAATGATTATGAAAGTCACTCGTTTCTTTTTTTCTTTGTTTAAATGAATATACGCTGCGGATAGAATCAGTGGCAGCATTGAAATAAAATTTCCTTTATCACTAAAAACTTATATATTTCTTTCCTCTCCTTTCTTTCCGTCTTGCATACTTAATTCCATAAATAAGTGCAGTTTGAGAGAATGCACCTGAGTTGTAAGCATCATGCATTCATTTCAACTCTACCTTCACTCATAGCGTCAAATATATATCCAACTAAACTTAAATGAGCATTCTCTTCTCTCTTCTCTCTCTCCTCTCCTCTTTCTGAACCCTAAGCAGCAGGCAAAGAGCAGTCACTGCAGGCGACTGAAAATTCGACGGCAGCAGCAGGTAGACCCCCTTCCCTCTCCTCTCTCTCTTTCTCTTCTCTTCTCTCCTCTCCCCCTCTCCCTCCCTCCCTCCTGAACCCTAAGCAGACGACTTCTTTCGTCTGCTCCCCTCTCCACCCCTCTCTGACCTGCTCTCTTCTCCCTCTCTAGCCCTCTCCCCTCTCTCTTTCCCTCCCTCCCGTCAGCCGCATCTAAATAGGTAAAAGGCAGTATATCCGACCCCTCTTTTCTTCCTCTCGATCTTGTTCCTTTTCGTGGCACGACTTCGGGACGACGAGGACGAGACGACAGACAGTGGAACCAGTGCGTGGGTGGAAGCACTATTTTGTCATCTCCAACTACTAATCAGGCCCACGTTTCCGTACAGTCACATTACCGGCAGAATTTTTCTGCACCGGTGGTCACATCTTCAGTTCCAACATGTCCAATAACTTCGGGCAGCTTTCCGGCGAGCTTCACCATTTCCGGCGACTAAATTCCTCGACTACAACACCAGGTTCTACCGTTCTTGTTCTATTATATTCTATTGCTTGTTCATTCTTTGATACTAGTTTTGTGTATCCAGTTTATTGTTTTGTTCTTTCTTATTAGTTGTGTATATACCGTTTCTTGTTGTGTTCTCCAAGATTTGTTATATTATTCTTGTGTTCTATTTCCCTGTGTCGGCAGTCTTTGATTGTGTTTAATACATATTTTTTGGTTGCCTCGCCGGCTACCCATAGTTGGATTGATTGCTCTAGGTAGACAACACTTGCTTGCTTTGCGGTACTTGCAATTAGTGTCTATAAGTTCTAAGTTATCATCTATATCATTTTAACTGCCCGCATGCATGGTGGTAGATTAGAAACGAGGTAGATTAACTGCCCTAGTGCTTGCTTGTTTTACTATACTCGTAGTAGCGCCTTTTGAGTTTTTTTTAGCCTTTCGAATTCTTAGCTTATATTCCTTTGTTTTCGCTCTTTGCTATTTAAGTGGTAGTGATTACTTAATACCTCTTAGACTATAGTGGTTGTGGTGAATAATGGGAGAGTAAGTTCACGCCCTCGGGTGGGGTAGGGGGTGGGGAGCAGGGTGGTAAAGGGGTTAAGGGAGCCAAGGCTGAGAGTTTGGTCCTGGAACATAAGGACATTGACGAGGAAGTCTATAGAGTTAACTAAGATTCTCCAGAAGAGGAAGATCAACATAGTATGTGTCCAGGAGACTAGATGAGTGGGCATTAAGGCTCGGGATTTAGATGGGTTTAAACTGTAATACTCAGGAGGTGTTGGGGGCAAGAACGAGGTAGGTATTTTAGTTGACGAGGGACCTAAGGGAGCTAGTGGTCGTGGTTAGCAGGGTAAACGATAGGTTGATGAGTATTAAGCTTGTAGTTGGAGGGTTTACTGTAATTGTGATTAGTGCTACGCTTCTCAGGTAGGCTTGGACCAGGAGGTCAAGAGGCAATTTTGTGAGGATTTGGAAGAAATGGTGCGTGGTATCCCGCACACCGAGAAGCTTTTCATTGGAGGGGATTTCAATGGCTATATTGGCGCTAATGCTAGGGGTTATGATGATGTGCATGGCGGATTCGGTTTTGGGGATAGGAAGAGAAAGGTACCTCACTGTTGGATTTCGCTAGAGCTTTTGATTTGGTGATAGCTAACTCGAGTTTTCCGAAGAGGGAGGAGCACCTGGTCACCTTCCGGAGTTCGGTGGCCAAGATTTAAATTGATTACCTTCTCTGCAGAAAATGTGATAAAGTTTTATACACTATTTGCAAGGTCATCCCGAGTGAGTATCTCAAGACCCAACATAGACTCCTAGTAATGGACCTGGAGATCAGGAGGAGTAGGAGGAAGAGGGCGATGTGCAGGCAACCCAAGATCAAGTGGGGTAACTTGACTAAGGACAAAACTCTGGAGTTGGGGAAGAGGTTGCGAGCTATGAGGGCATGGAGGAGCAGGGGGGACGCGACTAGGATGTGGACCACCACAGCGAATTAGGGAAGCTGCTAGAGAGATCTTAGGGGTCACGAAGGGTTATTCTGGGGGTCACAAAGGCGACTGGTGGTAGAATAGAGAGGTCCAAGATAAAGCGGAAGCCAAAAAAGCGGCTTATTTGAAGTTAGCAGAGTACAAACAAGGAAAAAAGGACATACCAGGAGTGTTATAAGAAGGCAAAGAAAGAGGCGAAGTTAGTAGTTACGGCGGTGAAGACAACAGCGTTTGGATATCTGTACGAGGAACTCGAGGGAAAAAGCGGAACCGGTTGGCCAATGTGAGGGAGAGAAAGGCCCGTGACTTGGACCAAGTGAAGTGCATCAAAGACGAGGACAGCAAAGAATTGATGGACGAAGCACATATTAGACGAAAATGGAAGACATACTTCCATAAATTGTTGAACAAGGAGAGCAACATAAGCATCGTGCTGGGTAAGTTGGAGCACTCCGAGAGTCGGCGTGATTTTAGGTATTGTAGGCGTATCAAGGCAAAAGAGGAGGAGGAGGCGACGCGTAAGATGAGCAGGGGCAGATCGACGGTACCAGACAAAATTCCGATAGAATTTTGGAAGAATGCGGGCCGCAGGCTTGGAATGGCTTATTGGGTTTAGTTTTAAGACAAAATGATGCCTGAAGAATGGAGATGTAGTACGATGGTTCCGTTGTACAAGAACAAGGGTGATTGATATCCAAAATTGCAACAACTACAGAAGTATTAGGACCACCACAACGAATTAGGGAAGCTGCTAGAGAGATCTTAGGGGTCACGAAGGGTTATTCTGGGGGTCACAAAGGCGACCTGTTGTAGAATGGAGAGGTCCAAGATAAAGCGGAAGCCAAAAAAGCGGCTTATTTGAAGTTAGCAGAGTACAAACGAGGAGAAAAGGACATATCAGGAGTGTTATAAGAAGGCAAAGAAAGAGGCGAAGTTAGTAGTTACGACGGTGAAGACAATAGTGTTTGGATATCTGTACGAGGAACT